CCGCCGCCGTCCCCCGCCCGCCTCATTAGCATAGCAGCTGCTCGCCGAGCGGGACCGCGCTCTGGAGAGGGCAGAGGCCTCGAGGATGAATGGGGCCACGGCTTTGGAAGGGGCGGGAGAAGAAAGACCGACAGACGGACTCGCGGAGGGACGGTCGGAAGGACGGCCGAACAGAAGAATACGCCACGCGGGGGGCTGGGGCAGTGGCCGGGCGGGCGGGGCGGAGTGTGCGGGAGGGGGGCGGCCTCCCCGGACCCCGAGCCCCAGGAGGGTCTCGCTGGAGGCCTCGGAAGGAGCAGTTGCGGAGGTTCCCAGACCTCCGACGGCCTCTTCTGTGGCCTGCGCCCTCACACTGCGGCCTGTGGCTTTGTTTCCCAGCTGTTCCGGCGCGGGGCCTCCTTTTCCGACCTTCAAGACTGGTGGACGCCGCCTCCTCCTCTTTGCAGGCTCCAGGCAGCACCGGGAGGCAGCTGGCCCTCCCCAGGTCACAGGGCTGCTGTCCCTGTGTTCTTCTGCACACCCCTCTATCCCTCCTGTGCTGAGCTACAGGCCTTTGGGAACAGACTGACCCCGGGCAGCCCCTTCCCTCTCTTCTTCCTCCCTGGCTTCCAAATCCGGTCCTCTCTCCTTGGGCACCACTTTCTAGCTGACCATCTTTCTCTATTTCCAACTGTGTTTCCTGCGTGCTGTCAGGGTCAGATCACAGGCAGACAGGAGCCCATGGCCCTGCTGCAAAGTCTAGTGGGGCAGGCCCTGCTCTCACTAGTTTAGTGGGCCTCCTCTCTCCCTATGAGGGTTTCCCAGCAGCCCACGCCCAGCCTGCAGCACTACCTCCCCTGGGTCTGCTCAGTGCCTGGGGCACCCCCACTAGCCTGCACAGGCACTCTTCAGGTCTGGAGGCTGGGCAGCTGTGCCTTCTTTTTCACCCTGGCCACCAGAGACCGGCATAGGAGGGGGGTGGGGCCTTCCCAAAGACTCCATTGGTCAATACCTGCCAACACCCACCAGAACGGAGGCAGTCCACTATTGGCTGGGCACCCAGGCCCTGGAAGGACAGTCTGCCCCAGACACACCAGTCAGAGACACACAGCAGCTTAAATCTTATGCCCATTAGCAGGGACTCCCCCTTTGTCCCCACCTCAAGCACCCTGTCCCCTCCCAGTAGTCACACTTTGGGCCACAATTGCTCAGGCAGTCCCTCTTCAGAGTTACTCATTCTGGAAAGTGCTGCCCAGGGTCCCTTTCTAAGACAAGAGGGCTCCTGTGAAGGAGTCTCCTGTGTCTCATCCCCTGCCCAGTTCCTCAATTCCCAGGGTTGGCTGCAAGCAAACCTCAGGAGAAAGGAAGTTCCACCAAGGCTCTACCCCTGAGTCCCCTCTCCAGGGGCCTGGTGTCTGTGCCTAAGAGAGACTGTCTTCCCAGGGGGCAGCATGGAGACTTCTCAGTCAAAAGTGTCCCTTAAGGGAACTGGAAACATTCCCTTGGGGTGGCGGCTCTGTGCCCAGGAGGCACTAGTGCCTCTCTGGAGTGGGGCAATTCAAGGGTGTTGCAGGATAGTGGACACTGGGCCCTGTCCAGTGATGGCATCTTCTTCCAAGGTCTTTCTGCCCTATGTGAAATCAGTCCCTGGTGGGGCAAAGGGGTGTAGAGTGAAGCCATGGCCCAGCACACCCTTGGGTGCCCGAGCAATTCTCAGGCTTGGCTCATTCTCCAGATGCCCAGTAGCATCCAATTTTTTGTGGGGATTCTCCCGTGGCAGGTTGGGCAGCTGCCAGCTGGCCCGGGGCAGAACTTCCCAAGGCCTGGCTTGGTGGGGTGCTGGGCTGGTGGGTACCCTTCCCTCTCCATACAGCTCATTAGCATCACATAGTCCACTCACCTCCACAGACAGTGTAGCCACTGTCCCAGGCCAATGCTGGGTGGCCAGAAATGCCTACTCAACCAAAAGAAAATGCATCTGCAAGGTCTTCAAGGGTAGGAGCACGACCCTAACAGGGACTGGCATGGGTGCCAGCCTGGGGAGGGCAGCTGCCACCCTGTGCAGGGGTCTGAGAGTATCTGGAGACAGCTCCATCTCCTAACACTCAGAACAGTCTGGCAGTGAGACTTCCCCTGCCCTTTCTCCAGGGTCTCCTCTTTGCAAGCTGCTGTTGCTGGAGGGTGGGGGGTCTCCCCGCAGGGCCCCAGGGCATATTGGGATGGGGTGAAAGTCTCTCTCCTCCTGCACACCTGGGGACCCCCAGGCCCCAAACTTGCTCCCAGAGGATGACCCAGGTCTCTCTACCTGGGAAGCACAGCAAACACACCTCAGGAGTGAGCAGCCATAATGTCCCCCCAAATCTAAGACTCCTGTGTGCATCTGGCAAGGAGGGAAGAAGGGTCGGTCCCTTCCAAGAGCTTAGCTCTCAGGCTGGGTGGCAGGCAGGTCTTTCTGGGATCTCGGCAGCCTTGCCACAGAGCTCCAGTGCCCTCAAGGTGGCTGGAAGGGGGGCAGCCCTGGGCCCTCACGAGTCCTGTGTGGCCGGCTTGGATTTGGCTGTTGAGTGGGGCTGGACAGTCGTTTTCCAGGAGCCGACTTTAGGTGATGGCAAACAGTGAGCCCTGCTGACTTCATCCCAGAAGGGGGCGTCTTACACTGGCCAAGAACAAGAAACAACAAACTCATTTTTTTTTAATATAAAAAGATCAATGAAAAATTTATTTATAAATTTTTCATGCTGGGCTACAAGTCTATATCGTACACTCAGGATGTGCTGCAGACTCTGTCCAGTTGGAAGTGATCAAACCCGGGCCCATAGCAGCTCCAACATAAGCCTAGGAGTCTTAACATTAATTAACATAATTAAAAAGGCATTTGCATGTAGAAAAAATATACAGAACTCCTTTTGGAGTAATCTGTGCTTGTTTCAATGTCTGCTTATTTCACTGACATTATCAACATATTCTTCTCACACGTTCCTTAAAAAGCCGAAGAGGCCGCACGTGACCAGCCAGCACAAAGGGCCTCCACCCACCTGTGTCCTCAAGTGCTCCCCATTTTTGCACGCAGGGTCAGCAGCACTTCTACAAGGGGAAACCTCATTTAAATTTGAATAATTCAGCCTCCCTTTTATTTCCCAGGATCAAAACAAGGGGTATGGGGTTGCATAGAAAATCGGAACCACAGAAACCAGGAAGGCTCCTTTCGCGACTGCTAGCGACGCTCTAGCGCCTCTGCCGTCCCGTCCTCGGCGCAGCCCCTCCCCCACGGCAGATCCTCGGATCCCAAGTGGGTCCTCGAGCCGGGGAGGCCGAGGAAGGGCTCAGGGGCCCTTCCACTCAGCAACAGCACGAGAGATTCACAGTCTTATAGGCATTTTATAAAAATATAAATATGGGTACACTGTTGCCTTCACAACGCTGGATACAACGCCCTTTAAAATTGGGTTTAAAACCAAGATTCAAAACATACACCTAAAACTTGGCTTAAAATATGTTAATAGTTTATATTGTCATAAATGTTATGACATTTAATCGCGGCAAATCCATTTACTTTTTTAAAAAAGTGTGCAACCGACAGTTAACTATAATAGAACTCACGAGTAAGGGTAACGACGGCTCCTACCCCCACATCCCTGCCCCGCGAGCACCAGCGAGCTTCCAGGCCCCTTAGGAGACTTTGCAAAACCAGCCGGTTTGCGAGATGGTGGCCTTGGGCTTCCAAAACTCACTCGGGATGCAGGGAGAGGGAGGAGGAGAGGGAGAGAAGAGGAGGCAGGAGCGACAGGGGGTTGGGGCAGGGGAGGGAAGAGCAAAGGGGAAACCGTCGGGCTAGGCGGTATTTTCAGTGCAACCAAGAAATGGTAGACTCAAGTTTTTAGTTTTAAGACTAGAAAAAAATGCATCTTTCCCCCATGACCACATTGACCACGCATAATATTTTCCAAACAAAAATCAGGCGCACAAACTTCACCCACAAATATACACACACTTGATAAATAGTTTGGGGCACCAGGGACAGCGAACATCTCCTTTGTGGCGCGCGGTAACTGCTCTGCGGCCCTACGGGATGGCGGGTCCCGTGGGCGGCGATGGGCGCCCGAGTCCGCCGCGCCCCCGCCGCGCGCCTTTCAGCTTCGGGAGAAAGCCTTCTGAGCCGAGGATCCGGTATCTCGGGATTCCGAACTCACTGGTTGTGAGACTCAAATTTCAAAAGGGGCTGGCGCCTGCGCCCCGCCCCCACCCGCGAGGCGGCAGGCGGGGACCGTGGGAAGGCGCTTGGACCGGGCCGGGCAGCCAGGCACCACCGAGGGGAGGCGCTGGCCGGCGGGGCGGCGGGCCCCGGGGCCGCGGACGCGCACTCTGTCCTCGTCGTGGCTGCGGGCGCCAAGGGCTGGGCTGCCGGCGGGCCTGCGACCCTAGTGTACACCGAGGTAGATGGCTGGAAGGTACAGCAGAGATGACGCGGGCGCGGGCTGGAGGGGTTCAGGGTCCGGGCGGGCATCACCGGCCGCTGGCCGCATACTTGGCCTTAGTGATGAGATAAAGCACGATGTCCTGGTGGCCGCCAAAGGCGGCGATGTGCAGCGCGCTCCAGCCGTCGCGGTTGGCCAGGCGTATGTCGGCGCCGAACTTGACCAGCAGCTTCACCAGCTCCAGGTTGCCGTCGATGACCGACTGGTGCAACGCTGTCTGGCCTTCGGGACCGAACGAGTTCACGTTGAACTCGCAGTTGGTCATGTTCTGCAGCAGTGACTGCAGCTCCTGCGTGTTGCCCTTGCGCACCGCTTCCTGGAAGATGCGCTGCGTCTGTGGCGCCGAGCAGGTGGACAGCTCCGCCTGGCTCATGCTGCCGCCGGGCGCCGGCCGCGCGCCGGGCCGG